TCGAACGTTTGGATCGACCAATTAGACAAAGAAGTTCACAACACCGTCACAAACCTACGTCTGAAAATAATTTGAATGATTATTCTGTTACATCCATGACAGAGAAACCATTGCGAGATTCAAATAATCTAACTGTACCTTCTGACGCTTCAGTGCATCGATCCAAGCATCGTTCCAAAAAAAAGAGTAACGATTCCACTGATGAAAATAAAACACATCATCATTCTCATCATCATCATCATCATCATCATTCTCCTGTTCTATCTCAACAACAGCACCACCATCATCACCATCATTCTCCTACTCAATCTCAGCAACACCATCATCAGCATCATCATCGTCATAATCACCATCATCATACTCATCCTCATTTTTCACCATCCAAAGAATATGTTGATACTGAATTTCAAGTTATTGATGCTTCATTTGCAAAATCTGAACGAACACCTTTTTTTCAAGGAACAGAAAATTCATTTCATTCACCTCCACCTTCAATTTATAATCAAAGTTCTTATCTACCACCTATTACAAGTGATCACCATAATGGATCAAATTCAACTGATTATCATACTATACACACGTTAAGTAAAGATTGGAGAGACTCAATCAAATCACCTCAAATATATAAGACTGACCCACAAACGAAATTTTATGATCGTTATTTAAATAGCGTAATAGATAAAAAACTAGCTACTTGATAAACCAATGTGTTACATTTTATTGTTAAATCAACATGTTTTTGCCGGTAACATCATGTGTTTGATAAGAAGTATGTAAAGAATAATAAAATAAAACTTTATTTTTTTTGGTTAAGATTTTTCATAATTTATAATGACTATTAAAGTTGTTATATAAAGTTTATTTTTCAGTTTTTTTTTATCCTGATTACGAGGCTAAAAAGAATTCGAATAGTGTCTGAAATCAAGATCATGTTTTACAAAAAGAATGCACGAACATAAAGGTTCTTACTGAATTTCCTAAGATGAGGTCTTCAGAAAATTTTTAATGAAAAATTTCCAAATCTAGAAAGATAGAACAAATTTTATTGTGTAGAGAATGATTTGTTACATTGTAATGATACCTGAACGTTCTGGCTGCTCAAAAATTAAATAAACGATTGTCTAAAGACCTTATCTTTCGAAATTTGATAAAAATCTTTATTTCGTTTAGTCTTTTGGTCAATTATTGTAACTACTACTTTACTTCATGACATCAAATGGAATAATAAAGTATTGTTCACTTGTTTGCAATTTCACTGATACTATTTTCAGAATTTGTTGATAAAGACGAAAATAATGAATTATCATAATTGTTTTTATCTTATTAGAATAGTACTATTAGATTTGAAACGATATGTCAAAATGCATATTTGACATGAAATAAAATTGTTGAATTTCTTCTTTATCTAGTCGCTATTGTTGATTAACAACAACAAGAAACTCAAATCGTTTTCAACAATCGTCACTATAATTTTTGGAAAATGTTTTCAACAAATAAACTCAACATTTTTCTGAGTGCTTGTAACTGGAAATAAATTACAAAGAATTAGTAAAGGATGCGTGTGGAATTTTTTTGGGTGTTGGAGACTTGTCTCCATCTGTGCCCTAGTTTTTTTTCATTTCTTTTTATTCAATATCATACAAAAAACTTGTTGTGTTATTGTTTCTAGAATAAAAAAAATTCAGATCAATTAAATCTCTGAGATGGAAAAAATAGATTGTTTTCTGTATTGAAATCGGTTGTCCCCTGAGATCGAAAGTGTTGTCATTGCACAGTTAGCATACATCGAATGAAATAAAAAGAAAAATAGTAGCAGTTCTATTTATACATCATACTATGGTTTGTGCCAGTTAGAAAGGAAATATTTCTTTTCTTCTCCAACATGAAAACCACTTGTCAGTTTGATCAAAAGAACGCAGATTGAAAATAAAAACAAATTCGACAATTATAATTTTGTTTAACCGAATACGTAGTTCATCTATTTATATTTAAGTATTTGTTTCTCATTCTTTGGTTCTGTAGAGATGTATACAAAAAAGATAAAGTTTATTTGTAACATTTCCAGAATGAATAAAGTATTATACTTTAGATTTTTATATGGCAATGCAAATAAGATCGATTCACTTTTGAATCTTTTATTAACGATAGACATAAGCTGTAATTCTAATAAGTTGTTTTATTCAGAATATGAAACTTTTAAGAATGGTTTTCGTTGAATCTCAATAGCATTATATTATAGTTATTTATTCAACAGAAAGAAGTTTTGGTAGTTTGACTTGATCGTTTATAACTAAACGAAAAAAATTCTTTTTCTTCATCAACTTTTACAAATTAAGATTCTCCTACTATGTAGAAACTAATTTATACCATGGTAAAATGTGTTCTTCACAATGTTCTATAGTTATGACTCCAATCATTCCACGACATGGTATAAAAGATTACATCTTCACCAGGTTTAAGAGCACATTTTTTTAATGATAAAGCATTAGTGCATCATTAATTTCTTTATATCTCGCTTAATTTCAAGCAACAATTGGGTCATTTACTTTCTTAATAAGAATGAGGAAATAATGAGGGTGTGGAGTGTGTGGGTGTGATGTAGATGGGTGTGTTGGTGTGGGTGTGGAGTGTGAGGTGTGAATGTGGGTAGAGAACGAGACACCCACACTCACACCCATACACCCGACACCTCACACTTGCACCCACACATCTTAATTACATCCGATACGGAAAATTATTGGAAAGTTTCAAAAACCTGTTGGGTTTCAATAATTAGATGCTACAACGAACCAACTATTTATTTTTTTCGTTGTGTCCTGAAATTCGATACGATTTGACAGAATGAGCTGCATCTTGCGCGATTTCAATGTATTCTCTTTTTTTTTGCATAAAGGTTTGTGCGTTTTTACAAGGACACTTCAATGGCTGCTTTCATTTGCTAAGAAAAAAAAATAGATAAGAGAATGGAGAATGACGCAGTTTGTTGACTGTTAACAGTTGGTTTTTTCACGACAGCCACAATACGTCGGGGATTGAGATAGAAAGAAAAAATCTACTTTCCGAACAACTTTAGCAAATCATGGCATATTTCGTCAAAAAAATAACAGGAAAAAACCAACCACTAATTATAAACTCTTATTATAAATACTTAACAGCTTCCACAAACTTCAAACAGAAATATGGTAGTTTGGTCGCATTATATAGATTCATCTGACGTAAATAAAGGTGATCATGTTTATTCATTGCGAGGTTTTGATACGTATCAACATCATGGCATTATTATTTTGGGAATAGATGCAAATCATCTTAAGCCAATACCAGAGATTATTGAAACATTTATGGTGATATAGCAATATCTAGAAGGACTACAAGTTGTTACTCTTAAAGATTTCATTTATGAACATGGCAAACTTATCAAAGGAAAGCACTCTCCGTCGTGTTCAATACAATGAAAATCCGTTTGCGTACGGAATCAAAAGACGTGGTTCATGTTATTCTCAAACAGCTCTTCCGGCTGAACTAATAGTTTTGAATGCTATCTCAATTTATAATGATCCAAATCAAAAAGAAAAATGGTCTTCTTATTCATTAGGAAAACGTAACTGCGAACATTTCGCATTTCACTGTTGTGTTGAAATAAGTATGTCAAGCGAACAAGTCTTGGCAAAGTACGATCTTCTAACCAACACGTTTAGTATTGTCACGATGACTCTTGGATCGCTTTTATGGGGTTGGAGTAAAAGTTCGTATATATTTTCCTGTAGTGATTGTTGTAGTTATTAATCAGATCTATTATCTTTTTCATGTAGAACTCTCGACAAATGTGATATATATTGGTGAAAAGCTCATGCCATCCAGTATCACTAATCTTACTAGTACTTCGTTGAATGAATTCGTTAAAGCTTCTTTACCAGGTAAATACAGATTTTATACAAATGAATGTCAGACTAATTAAAAAGAAACAATACTAGAAAGGGAATATTCTATATACAACCAATATCTTATCAAAAAGAATTCTAATAATAATAACCATGTATTTTCTATTTATTTTTCTGCAGGTAATGCAATCACTGCTGGCATTGCATTGGTTGTTGAAATCGCATTTCTTACAATACGGTGGATTGTATATTTATGTGTTAAAAAGAACGAAGAGAAGCTTAAAGATTACCTCGCCACTGGCTGTGCTATTGACACAAAAGAATATGTAAAGTGTTTGATTCAAGCTGGAATTGCAAATGGGGTTTCATTTGGAATGTCAATAGCTGGTGGAGTAGTCGGAACATTTATTCCTTTACTAGGTGCTACAGTTGGATTTTCAATTCTTTTTGGTTTTATAGGTTATGAAATTGCTCGGTGAGGTTCTGGTGCATTAAACAATATATTTCAAAAACTGATCGACGAGAAAATGAATGAATGAATGATTCGTTTGCTAAATTTTGAAGTGAACTTATTATTTATTATATCGGTCACTCGCATTTTATATCATTACTGAACAAAAAAATGGCAAAAATTTTTTGGAAATTACCTATACACTACAAACAATGCTTTAATAATTTTAATACATTCAAGAAATCCGTCTGTATACAAACGAAAAATAGATTTTAACTAAATAAGATATCCTTTGAGTGTATGTTGATGCGTATATCAAGATTTTCGTATCATTCTCTTTTTTGAGCTGAATAGTTGTCTACTGATATCAATTTTCAAGTACTACGTATATGAATTTTTCAGAGATTATCATATTCATGAATATGATCCGCTTGCCAGAATTACGATCATCTATTTTGTGATAACTAAAACTGTTTAAAAAATAATTAAATGAAACATGACGCATGTACTTAATTATTAAGTAAAAGTTATTTTTTAGGGCTAGAAAATATTTACGAGGAATTTTTTAATATAATCTTCCGACGATTATTAATTATGGGAAAAGAATGCCTTATTTGTTTTGAATAAGAGTCTGTTTATTCTAATATTGATGATTAATAACCGGACATAGATTAATGAATAGGAGTCTTTGATCCAAGTATTGATATTTGGCTAATCGAAAATCTTGTATTAGGATCAAGTTCATTTGATATTTTGTGATAAAAAAATTGACGTTCTCGAGCTATTTGACGAAAACGATTTGGAGCCGCGAGAAATACATAAAGCCTACCCTAAATATATGTTGAAGATCTTGAAGCTAAGTATGAACTATCATGACCGGTTGTGGCAATGTTCATGTTGTCTCATCAGATGACTCTAATGACAATTGGATTCAGGTATCATGATTATGAAAAGGAACAGTTGTTGAATTGTGCTCCTTGTTGTTTTGGCTGATACTGTCGTGACAGTCGTTCTATGCATTAATAGTTGTATCGATGATAGCATTTTATACGAACGATATTGAATATTGTGCCATTGTATAGAAATTGTTTCATGTTTTCCAATAGTGACACATAATATTAATATCTGGAAGGCAAAAAGACGGAAAGATGGAATGTATTCTATGTATTCGATTACAAATTTTATAGTCAAGTACTAGACTCTTTCGATGGCGAATGGTCATAAAATCTTAAATGAGAAGAAAAAGATGTCTTTCGTTTGATGACATTTGTACATGTTATTGCTTTTGCGATGTGCGCTATTTTAGTCATCGTCATCGTCAACTACAAAAGAAGCCTCATCAATAATAATTTAGAAAAGCACAGATGATAAGGCGTTTTCTAATTTCATTTTAGCCATTTTTTCACACAGTTAATAGACGAATTGGTGGCCGTTTGTCAACGAAGAAATCGTTTGATGATCAGTCAATTAAACGAATGCTACCACTTCGAATTCCATTTGTTACCTCTTCGAGTGTTGTTCAGAAGAAGGTGAACGCATGGGAAAAGACTCTTCGTGGAAAAGTTAAAAAAAACTTTGCTGATTTGCTAGTTTGACCAAAGAATGTCTGAAAAGTACTTAGGATACAAAACAATCGAATTTCGTCTTATTGGTTTTCTAGAAATAATCAAAATACGAGGAAAGTTCAGATTGTGGGAGTGGGTATGAGTGTGCAGTGGAAATGTGTTCCCAGGTGTTGGTGGATGAGGTGTGAGTGTGAACGTTGGTGTGTGCGTGGATGTATGTTTGGTCGAATCTGTGGGTATGGGTGTGCGTATGCATGTGTGGATCAGTATGAATGTATGGTTGAGTATGCGAGTGAAAATGTGGACATGGCGTGGGTCTAGATCTGAGCATGTGGATTAACCGGAGTATTCATCTACACTCACACCTTTAGAGCCAGTGTAACACGACATGTAGAGCATTGATCGAGAAATTTTGACTTCTATATTGATATGAAGAGTCATAAAAATTTTAGAAATACATAGATTGTCGTTCGCTTTTGTGATTACCAAATTCAACTCGCTATTCCAATCGACAATTATATCGAAGAATAGATGACTGATGTATCAAATGTGAAACGTTGTAGTCGATTGCTCACTTACTTCGCAACTGACTTTCTAATATCGATGTTTGCAATTTCTACTATTAAGAATAATTTTTAACCGGGCAGTGCACCAGTGTCAAGAAGACTTATTTATTTTTGAAAAACTCTATTCAATTTATCTTAAAAACAAGTTCAATCTATGGTTGCATAGCTTGGTCATCGAATCGTATTATCTGCGCAACGGATGGTTTTCCCATACAGTCAACATAGAACATCATGTAGAATGCAGGTGCGATGAGTGCTATTCGTGCATCGAGTGTCGTCAGTAGAAGAGTTGATGTTGCTGTCACTCTTGTAAATGGAAGATTGATTAGACGTTGTCCACCGTCCCATCCGTGTGTGGCCGATCCTAGTTTCATCAGAACCAATTTTTCTTTGGTTCCATTAGCACATTGCGTTGGTAGATGATTTAAATTCACAATGTATTGGGAATTGCTTCGAAGTAAATAGTAGCGTTTCCCATCGATGATGCTCTCAAATTGATAATCTACTGTTCGAAGGAGAGTCAACGAAACGATCACTGATCGTCGTTTGCCATCAATGAATAGATAGGGAGGACTGAATATTTCTGCTACCCACGTTTCGGTAGGAACACTGAGTGAACCGCGCGAATTTTTTGCCAATCGACCATCGTCAAACATTTCCACATCTAAATCGATATTGGATGTGTCAGGCAATGGTTGTTCATAGGAACTGATATTATGTTCAGCAAGAGGTTTCTCGGTCAAAGACTTATAATGAATTGTAGCACGAGCTGATCCTCCACCAGAAATCCAGACACGACCATCTGGTAATAGCAGAGCGACGTTATGATAAAGACGAGCTTCGACACCTTCATTCATGCGCTTCTTCATGTAGCCGAGAAATGCACCATTGACATTATCAAATTGTGGTGTTAATAAAATTGGATAATGGACCGATCCATAAAAATCATAGTTTGCACCATTAATAATGAGAATTTGCGACGTAAGAAGTAGGAGTGCATAGTGCATGGTTCGATCATCCTGTGGATGTTCACCAAGAAAAGATGGTTCTAAAGTCCAATGACCACCGTTCGATTCATAGATCGAAGAATGAAATTGTTCTAGTTTGCGACTTCCGCGACCACCAGCGAAACGCTGGTTGCCTATAAAAACAGTAATAAAAATAGGAAAAATAGCTCTAGTTTAATGATTTACATTACCTTGACTAGTATCCGATTGATAAAGAAAAGTACCGGGTGATGTTGGTTGTCCGCCGAACAGAGCAATCCGATTACTATTTGGATCGAGAATCGTTGTTCCGTATGATGAGACATTGTCAGGACGATTCGGTCCCGGTGAAAATGATACTTTAGGTACTTGACGAGACCCACTAACATGCATGTGATAGGTAGCAGTTGTTTTTCGCATGAAAGCAGTATCGTGAGTTCTTGCGCTAACAAAATCACCTTCACGAGTTAAATAGATGCGTCCTAGCGCTGTAAGATAAGCTTGTTCATAAAGTTTAAATACATCGTATTGATTGTCTCTGATACAACGACTCGTACAATTCACACCTGACGTCGATCGAAAAGTAGGGTTGATCAGATTGGTAAAAGGTCCGTTGATGGTCGATTTCACATCAACTTTTTTCCATGCGCTCTGTGGATTTGATTCATTGAACATTATGGCATCGAAAAATTCAACGAGATCATTATTTTCAAAAGCATACATCTCTGGATAGCCTGTGTCAAAGCCAACGAAACCAGCAATTACAATTAGACGACCGTCAACCAATGGTACCAGTGTAGCATACCATCGGCCCCGTTCCATCAAGCCTACAAAAGGAAAAACAAATGATCATCAGTTATTTGGTACTACTAATCCTGTCGTCAGTATGTATATAACACACATATGAGTGTTTGCTGAAAGTAACGTACCCGCAAAAGTCCACGGATTCGTCGAGTCATTTGCAAAGGTAACACTGGGCATATGCCTCCAATCGACATTGTTCCATCGAATTTGGAGTTCTTTTCGCCAATCGAACAGGTATGTTGCTCGATGACCTGTTCGAAATGGATGATAGTATTGTGTGCCACCAACAAAGAGTACATTGCCGTCAGGAACATGCAAGTGGCCTGTACAGAAAAGATCATTTGGTGCGAAATGTCCAGGCCATTTAGGATCAGGAACAGGTTCTGGATGTGGAATGCGATAGAACGTGTTCTTGTTCGGATTATAGATCCCAACATTGTTCACAAGCTGATAATAATCTTCTATTTTGCTGAATAGAAATGGATCTTCTTTTTCTCGAAAGATGCCTTGACCACTTTGAGGATCACTCATTTGCGGATGAGTTTCAATGGGACCACGGTTTCGCCAACTGCTTCCACTAGCCAGAAGAATGCGACCGGAAGGAAGAAGTACTGCATGGACAGTTTGCATACCTAAACTTTTTCCACGTGCACCGCCGCCACTTTGTGGAACTACAATTTGCCAGCTGCCTCCTGAGAGAGAATCAACATACTCTTGGCTGAGAATGCCTTCAGCCATAAAGGTTAACAAAAGAAAAAATCGTACAAGTATCATGGAATGCATATGGTATAGTTTGATCATTGCACCACACAGCTATTTATAGGCATATTTACTACTGAATCACTTCCGGGTTTGAGTCATTTTTGTGGATTTTTTTAATCAGAATGGACTTGTTTATCACAAACATTCATCAACATGCCATTCGTCGAAGATCAAATAGCAACGTCAATGGTTTTCCAAATATTATCATGAGGAAGCAGTGCTCTTGGTTCGCACTGACTCATAAAGATTTATGACGGCATTTTTTTTAGGTGAAGTAACATCGAAATTAATCATCGTTCGTATTGAATAAATATTACACTTATGTTGGAAGAGTATTTGCTGAATATCTTAATACTGTTGATTCTATCAGTCAATGATGCAAGCGAATAGTCAATATGTCCCCAGACATATTGAGTTACTCACATCCTAACATATCATCGTAATTTCAAGCATCCATATGTTATCTTCGTTGATGGCTGTCATTAACAATACAAGAGTCGTGCCATTTTGTTCGTGTTATATTACTATAACTTCTCAAATGCAACAAAGAATACTGAACGCAGGTGGCATTAAAAGCTCCAATGTTCATTGTATACAGAATCGCTATAGGCATTACATCAAAACAAATGCGAACTAACAAAGAATGAGACAAACGAAGAAAACGAAATATGAACAGCTAGAAGATGTATATCATGATCTAACGAGAGAAATATATCTCGATTATAGCTTGTTTCTTTCATATCGTTCATCTTACCATATATTATAAAAGAAATGATCAACTTGAAGCAGTTGACATACTAACATGGTTGACATTTCTGATCGAAATCAGTTATTTCGAACATACACTTAAATCCGACAACGTCAATTATATGCCTCACAATCGTCTTTAATTAACATGACAACCACCTACAAAGCATTGCGTGAGAAACAAAGATGAGAACAACTACATATTGTTGATATTTCTCTGCATAAAGAAAGATATGTTCTGGTGAAGGCCCAAGAGGAATCAAAAAGTTATTGATTAAATAAGAACTGAATTTGTGACCATGCGAAAGCAAATGTATAAAGTGATATCGTCATCATTATTATCTTTTCTAAATTAAAGTTTATGGTGCCATGAATCGTTCACAAGAGATTCATGGATAAAAAAGAAGACACACTCCTTGATCACCGTCCAATTTGTAACTTCGTTTCGTTATGTATATCGTTTACACTGTAAAAAAAAGTTCTTTGGATAACAAAATGTTAGAGAATTCATGAGAGTACAACGTATAAAGAACCCTTTTCTACAGTTTATAAGAGATTGATAAATCCTTTCGCAAAATCTAAAAGAAACTAATTAGCAAGAGATTCATAAAATTCTATTACTCTTCGTAAAATTAGGGTTCATGAACATCATAAATCCTTTCAAATAATCTTCTAAACCATTTTTGAAAGAGCTGATGTAAGCATTGTACCAGAGCATTCCACTTAGAAAGGATATTTGGAAGGGTTCATGATCATCCTAAATGATCTATAGGGTTCATTAAAAGGCATATGAAGCAGGGCTCCGGTTGGGATGGGATGGGACGAAAAAATCGTCCCATGGTACGAGTTGATTCATTCCATCCCGTGGAATATCTAAAACTTTTTTTTCATCCCATCCCATCCCATGGAAACCCATGGGACAAACATCTACTGAAAAAATATTAAAATTTATTGAACCAATCACCATGGTAGTCATACTGAATCCTTTGATATTCTTCCTAACCATTTCCATATCGCCACTTTATTTCACATTCAATTTCTCTACTGTTTATATTAATTTACATGGTTCTTTTCGAAAAAGATACTGCGCATCTTGATCAACGCTAATGAATAAGGTAATCAACTCATCGAAATTTGTTAAGATAGATTTCCATTCGTTAGGCTCTGCTCGAGTCCAGAATTGACGTTTCTTTTTTGGAACATTGCAGCACAATGTTTCGAATCACTAATCAGTACTAACGATGCTTCTCTTGGGCATCGGAAACTTGATGTCTCATATTCTGATGATTTTCGTTAGATTTCTCAGATTTTTTTAAATGCGGTTAAAGATTATTACATATTGTTGCACTATTCAAGGGATTCCTTCAAATGTTCACGGATCTCAATAAAATATAAAATAGTTTTAATCCAACAGATTTGATTTAGATTTGCTATCCACTAATTAGTTTTCTCTTAACCATGAGCTTCCGAAAATTGTATCGAAAATTGATTTGAAGTACAAGTTAATTAAAACATGTGCTCTTGTCGTTATGTCGTGATGAGTAGTGCCAGGAATAGTATTAAAAAATAAAATAGTACAAAACACATGAAACTCAGAAAGAAATTATTTTGTTTTTAATAGTTAGTACGGTTTGTTAAAATGTTATTTTTATGCACAAGAGAATTGGACTTTATTTGAAAAGAAAATGATAATAAATAGAGTCTTAGATTTTTTCAGCCTTTTTAAATAATAGTCTTCATCATAACAATATGTAGTAATACGAGTCTAACACACTTATTCGTCATAAACTAAGTTTCTTATTCATGTGTTATGCTTATATCAACTACTTTAACGCAATCTTACACGATTGAAAGTATAACTTATTAATATTTGCTTTAAAATAAAATGATATCGTCTATGGGTAAAAACGATCGTTTCGTTTCGATACTCTGAAAGCAACAACTAAGAAATATAAGATAATTCATTATTTAGTTTTATATAAAATGAGTTTTTTTTCTTAAAAATGGTACAAGAGAGTTAAATGTGAACTCATTTGTGTTAAAATAAAACATATGTAATAAGGAAATTATGAAGTCTATCTTTCTCCACTTTTATACAGTAGCTCGAACTATATTTCTACAGAAAATAATGTGCAAATTTTATTCAAAAATTAAAAACACAAATCCCATGGGATTAGCGATTTATTCCATCCCATTCCATGGAATATTTGAAGGAAAAAGTTGTCCCATGGGATGGGATTAGATGGGATGGGATTGTCCCATCCCATCCGAAGCCCTGATATGAAGAGATTTATTGACCTCATCAATCATCTAAAAGGTTTATGATAAGATATATGAAGAGAATTACTGACGTCATCAATCACTTAAATGTCTTATCATAAGGTACATGAAGGAAGTATTGACTTCATTAATCGCCTAAAAATTTTATGATAAAGTATATGAAAGAGATTACTGACTTGATCAACCACTTAAAAGGTTTAGGATATGGCATATGAGGGGTGATTAATGACTTTATCAAGAGCTTGAAGGATTTATTAAAAAGCCTATGAAACGATTTAACAGCAGCATCAATCGCATCGACGGATTGGTTGCCGTTACCAATGACCCCAAACACTTATGAAAACTGTATGCGAAAATTATCAATAAATTTTGACCGTTACGGGAAGCACATGACTCAGCAATGGACTTCCGGGTTTAGAAAATGTTGAACAAAACTGTTATTAAGCATCATCATCATCACAGCTTCTAAAGCGTGATGATTCAATAGAATTCTTTTTAATAAATCCTTGAAGACAATGGGAAAAACAAAATAAAGAAATTAAGGTGGATTAAACGAAATTACTGGAATCGATTTCGTGCAATAAAGGCCCGAAGACGATTAGGATTATAACATAATGAAAAATGAAACAATCGAAAAGAATAATTCGAATCAATTTCTTACAATAATTTCTCGATGACTATCTAGGTCAAAGGATCTGACTATAGGATCTTATACGATTTTATATGCCAATCTTAAAGCCACTCAAGTGAAAAAAAATCAGACGTAAGATCTCTAGTGAGATATCTGATACTATGTGATCCTATAAGATCAGACAGCAATAGTACGAAAAATCGTGGTATCTACAAAACTTACATCAATTCTAAATGTAAGTTTTGCAGAAACCATAATTTTTTGTACGCTTTTCATCTGATCTTACAGGATCATACAATATCAGAGATCTAATCTGAAGATTATACATCTGATTTTTTGACCTGAATATTTGCGTATCAGCATCATGAAGTAAAACAAAGAAAAAGAATCAAAAGAAATTAAGTGACAATCAAATCCTTAAAACTAATGCTCGAAGACAATAGAGACATTGAAAGGACGAAAAGAAAATGAGTTTGACATAGTTAGTTTCAACTTGTTTCTCAAAACATTTTCTCAATGTGTATGATGTAAAATAATGAAGTGAAGGAAAGAGTTAAAAGGAAGTAGTTTTAACTGGTTCATCTTCATAAGCTTTGGAGGTGATTATGATAATCAAATGAAAAGCTTATGTAATGTGCAATAAAATAGATTCTGTTGGCAAGTATATAGACACACAGAATTTCGACTCCCACAACTAAATTCTGTCATGAGGATAAATAAGTTGGTTGTTAAATGAAGAAAAGTGATCAAAGCATTTTTTCTTCATCATTAAGAAATGTATGTGTACCTTAGTGATTGGATAAAATTCAGTGAGGAGGTTTTTATTTTGTTTTTATCTTTTATTTTTTTACCTTTCATTTGACAACCTGTAGCACATCCAGGCTCATCGAAATTTTTTCCCTAACTTCATTCAATTGGGCATCAGTAGATTGCAAAATCGAATCTGATGTTGATTTTTGCATCAATAGTTAAGGAGGGGTGTGGATATGGCCTCTTTTTAATCATACCCACACCCACACTCCAGGAGTGATGTCGACACAAACAGTAACAATGATTCTATATTGAGAACTGTTAGTGAAAGAGACCAGGGGTTTTTGAATTATTTCAATTTCTCACGATACTTTTTTTTGAATACGAACTGAGGTGTATGCACTATTGGAATAGAAAAAAGATGGTCTATAAGAATTCATTTTCTATCAACAAACTTTTGTCAAGTTATTTCTTTTGTTCATCGAACTGTGTTTATCTCACACAATGATATCAGTGCGTTCAAGAACGGTCAATCAACCTATCTCTGACAAGTGAAACATATGAGAAA